TGCTCATGTGTTGCCCTACAAAGGTGTGACAAAAGGTCCATATGGATCCAAAGTACTTCTGAACGACATCAAGAAACTAGGATACTCCAAACTGATCATTCGACATGATCCTGAACCTGCCCTCACCTCCGTTGCTGAGGCAGTAAAGAATGGGTTTGAAGGAACCCTGATCATCGAGAAGAGCCCGAAAGGAGTCAAAGAATCCAAGGGAGAGATTGAGCGAGCAGTTCAAACCTTGGAAGGACAAGCCAGGACTCTTCGAGCCGCGATCGAGTCGAACTATGGTGAGAAACTTCCTGACGATTCACCTGTTTTGACTTGGTTAGTTGAACACGCATCCACAGTCTACAATCTGTTTTTCCGGTCTACCGAACTTCAACACGGAAAGACCCCGTATTCACGACTTCGTGGACGTGAATGGAAAGTAGCAATTCCACCTTTTGGTGAGGCCATCGAATACCTCAAGAGAGGTCACAAGTTCGAGGCCCAATGGACCAAGGGAATTTTTCTAGGAGTGAAAGACACCACCACAGAGAAGATAGTTGGAAATTCCACAGGCGTTTTTCCAGTGCAGTCCATTAGAAGAAAGCCAAAAGAAGATCGATATGACTCAGAGTTGCTGAAATCGATCACTGGGATTCCCTGGGATCCTCAAGCAATTCGCGAAGAACCAGCGATTGCAGCCCCAAGGGAACCAATCATTGCCAGCCCAAGTGGTGAAGCTTTAGTTCAACCACCGGCAATAGATGACAAGAAAAGAAAGCTGAGAAGACTTTACATTACCAAGAAAGACCTGGAAAAGTTTGGGTACACTGCAGGTTGCCCAGCCTGTGATGCCACACAGATTGGCAAAAGATCTACAGGCATCCATCACACCAACAGGTGTCGAGACAGACTTGAAGAGAGCATCAGAGGAGAAGAAGAAGAGAACCCAAGAGTAGCAAGACATGAAAGCCGAGTTGGAGAGGCAATCACTGGCATGCCACAACCAGTCAGTGGTAAGAGACCTCAAATCCTTCATGGATATGAAAGCAAAAGACCATCGGGAGTCCCCGATTCATGTCGGGTGTTCGCACGACTTGACGTCGAAGCTTATTGTTTTCAAACCACAATGCCAGGAGGACCTGATTGGTCTACCGTCTGGCACCGAGTCACAAGAAACCACGCAAACAATGCAATCATTGAGAGTGGAGTCATGACAACAGACCTTCCACCAGAGATACTCAATGGAGCATTACCACACAAGATGGACATTGTGACAGAACTTTGGTACGAACCAGAAGCAGCACCACCAACACCAGGCACCGCATCAGCTTCAGCATCAGGTATTCGCAGACCACGCGAACCTGAACCACATGGAGAAAAGAGAGAACACGAAGAGCAACATGAACCAACAGGATCACCCACAGCAAAAGCCAGAGTAGATAGAGACAAGAAGAGAAAGGCAGAAGGCGAACATGAAGATGAAGCCGAGAGAACAAGAGACATCCAGAGCATTGAGATGGCTCTAGAAAGCCTAATCCTAGAAGACAGAGAGAGAGTGCTATCTAGCATCGACCCAGAGAAACCAGTGTGTGAAGAGAAGATTCCACTGCCAGAACAAATGGCAGAAGAGGCGAAAGACTGGTGGTACTACGATGACATCAGTGGAAAAGAGCTTCTACCTGAGAAGGTAGAGAAAGCCAGGAAAGATGAAATCGACATTGTCGAATCAATGGGAGTCTGGGAGAAGATCCCAAGAAGCAAAGTTCCAAAAGGAACCAAAATCATTGGAACTCGATGGGTAGAGGTGAACAAGCAAGATGAAATCAATCCTCTCTACAGAAGTCGATTGGTAGCGCAAGAGATCAAAAGAGGCTCAGGTTTTGACGATTTTTTCGCAGCCATGCCGAGCCTTGCAGCTTTGAAGCTACTGCTAACCATCGCAGTCAGTGACAGCCTTCCATTGGAGAAAGGCGAGAAGCGAAAAACAAAGCAATCTTTCCTAGGATTTTTGGACGTGAAGAGAGCTCATTTCTACTCCAAAGCAACGAGAGAACTCTATGTTGAAATTCCATCAGAAGGCAAGAGACCGAGGATGGAGATGTGGTAGGAAGATTGGTCAGAAGCCTTTACGGCACCAGAGACGCACCCATGAATTGGGAGCTGACCATTGCAGAGTTTATGAAGAAGCTAGGATTTGTTCAAGGCAAGTCCAATCCATGCATTTATTACCATGCATCCAGAGAGCTTCGAACAGAAGTGCATGGAGATGATTTCACGACCGTTGGAAGTTTTGATGACATCAAATGGTTTCACACTTCAGCAGCCAAAGAATGGCAAGTTGTGGAACGAGGCATTCTCGGTCCACCAGGTTCACCAAAAGCAAGCCAACAGATCAGAGTGCTGAATCGCATCATCACCTGGTCAAATGAAGGCATTTGGTGGGAACCAGATCCAAGACATGCAGAGTTGATCATCAAGTGGTTAGGCACTGGTCAACCAGGCAAGGTCAAAACACCTTTGGCCAAGCCAAGTCAAGAGGAACTCCAACACGAAGAAGTTCCGCTGAGTGCCGAAGATGCAACGATGTATAGATCTATTGCTATGAGAGCCGCGTATTTGGCACAAGATCGACCTGATCTGCAAACTGCAACGCGCTCGTTGGCACAAGGTCTACAGAATCCAACATCGAGGCACTGGAATATGCTGAAACGATTGGCTCGATATGTCAGGTATCGACCAAGAGTTGCACAGCTGTTTCCAAACCAAAGCACCTGCAACCCCTTCAACATGTGGTCAGACGCCGACCATGCAGGTTGCATAAGGACACGAAAGAGTGTGTCAGGAGGCGTGCTCATGGCCAACAAATGCTGTCTCACTACATACAGCAAGGGCCAAGGAGTTGTCTCCCTGAGCAGTGGCGAATCCGAGTACTACGGACTTGTTTCAGGAGCATGTCAAATGCTTGGAATCGCATCAACAGCAAGAGACTGGGGATTGTTTCCCAGCAAAGAGGTGACAACGGACGCTTCCGCTGGCATCGCCATGGGAAACCGTCGAGGTCTGGGACGAGCTAAACATGTTGACACTCAGTACCACTGGGTACAAGAGCGCACAGCAAAGAAAGAGTTTCGTCTCAAGAAGGAAGGCACCGACCGAATGTTGGCCGACGTGCTAACGAAAGCTGTCACCGAAGAGAAAATGACTACAGCCATGAAAGGCATGAACTTCCACTACCTGGAAGGTGAGCATGAACTGACTTTGAAAGCTTGAACGGCTTGAGCTAGAGTAGGTACTTCTTCAAGACCAAGATGTACTGAAGGGCTACGAGCTAATTCACCGAAGTGCTAATCCTGACTCGCTTAACTTCTGGGAGATGTTAAACTCGGGAGGCGTGATCAGATGTAGCACCAGTTACATGTACATGACACAGCTTGTATAGATGTATGCTTCACTGCAGCCGTTTGTGGTTTACTTTTGTGTTCATTTCACTACCAGAGCTCACGCTTGATTGAGCTAAAAGTGTGCCTAAGCTTCAACTACAACCTTTGGGACTGTGACCCTACGTCACTGAGTTTAAGAGCCTAAATTCTCCGTTCATGGGAGGCTAACGACGTTCGAATGGAAGTGCATCTAAGATCCAGCCACATGCACACATGCGTTGGAAGATGTGGGGGTTGGGTGAGGGTTTCGGGGTGCTGGGTGGGTTGGGTGGGTAGCTAATGATGTTGGATTAGAAGTGCATCTAAGATGAAGAAAAATGCACACATGCGTTGGATGATCTTCAACATACAAGTTAAATCCAATTGAGGGGCAAGTATTCCGGCTCTTCAAAAAATGTGGAAACGGTTTTGTTTTGAAACGCAGACACAGGACGTTGAAAGTGTGGAGGTTCACTCTTGGCACTTGCAGCCATGCAGCGGGTTGAAAGTGTGTTTGTGCCAAGTCAGACAAAATCACAAACATACTGAGTGAACTGTGGCAAATGGAGAGTGTTCAGACTTCCTTTCTTCATGTTGTGGAGGATCTTTGTATCTGCGAAGTTTTCACATGTTCGGATTCTGACAGTTTTTTTGGGTTATATATATATATATTATTGGAAATTAAACACTCAATACTCAGTGACAATTGCAGTGCCAAAGCCAACGTTTCGGATTGTGTTGACAAGGTACCGGTCCCATGGCGAGGCAACTAGGAGCAAGGACGCTACTAGGGGCTCCTGGCATCGCTACTAGGAGCAAGGACGCTACTAGTAGCTCCTGGCCTTACTACTAGGAACAAGAAGCTACTATCTATGTTTTTGGGTGCTCAAATTCCCCCGCGTCGCTGTTGGGACCGTTACCTTACCTTCTGTTGCTTATTGCTTTCCCCTTTCACCTACAATTGCATTATATTTTCAGCGTGCTAGAAAGAACGGTGTCCAAACTCATTGAGACCTGCTTATTATGCTCAGTATAGCGTGCCTAAACAAACTCGAAGCCACAGTGTCAGAGGTGTTCTTTGCATGCACTGCAATATTCAAAGCGGATGACAAAAAGTAAATGAAGGTTCCATTGAGGGCATTGAAGGTTTGAACTTTTTGCACATTTCCTCTGAGGGCTTTCTCTCATGCTTCCATGCACGAGCAAGCGCAGACTTCCCCCGAGAGGCTCGTTGAATGCTGCTCTGCAAAAACACTCTTGCTGACAGAGTGTTCAGGCACCAGTGCCTGGAATTCCAGATGGTGTTCTTCATGACTCGACTTTGCCGGACGGGCTGGAGATGGATGTTTCATGACATGTTGTACCCTGCAGCACCCTGCTTCAATCTCCTCAGGAGCTGGTCAAGATGCACTCTTTGCATGGGGAGGCTGGGTGCTGCGGCATGGAAGGATCTGAACAGTTCGGGAGGCTTTTGGCAAAAAAGCCTTCATTGCCTGAAGGCCCTGAAGCGCTATTTGATGAAAGAGGTTGAGTTCACGCCTCAGCTTTTGCCTTTTGCGTAATATGTTGAACCTTGGCGGAGACGCTCTCAGGTTCATGGTCACTCCGCGCTTGATGCGCCTCCCAGAGGAGTTGACAACTCGAGTGGATATAGAAAAGAATATAGAGAAAAGACTTTAAGGAACCTAATAGCGATGGTCTCCAACCTAGTAGCATTTATTGGTAATCACATGCACTTCCAAGGAGACGCGCTTGGCTAGACTTTCCAACTACTGCAATCTTCACGTGTTTTACGGTGCGACGCTCGCGCTGCTACAGATCGTATTGGGCAATTCTTCACTGCACTCTTCAGGCTCTTACTCGGGCGCAAAGCGAACAGCACTGTTGGAGAATGCCAAGGACTACAAAAACAGAATGCTATGGCATTGCTGGGGTAATCGGAAGTTGTGTGCAGATACCGATTGCACATTTGGACGTCGTTCAGACCTAGCTTGGTGCTGAGGATTATGCTCCAAAGTTTTACGGTGTGGCAAAAGCAATAGCCAAGAATAAGGAGAAGGCACAGCACTTAATTGCAAGCATCTCATAACTGATTCCAACCGTCCATTTACTCGGGGTTTGTTTGCTGCAAGTTCAAGGATCTTCGATGTTGTCTCTGTAGCTAGTGGCCTCAGGCAGTGGTCATGCTATCTCGCCAAACTGGCTACAAGGCATTGCTGGAGGCGGGGCCTTGAAATCAATACTTTAAATGCAAGCAAAGTGAGAACCTGGTTTAGCACCGGATCTTGACACTGCACAGATACTACAGAAGACTGGGAAGAAGCGTGGCTTCAAAGTGGCAACACTCAAGGAACTGAGTGATGGCCTCAACAATACTTTATCCTAAGGATGTTTAGCTCATGTTTAGCCCAAGGACGGAGTCAAATGCCAGAAAAACCAAGGAGTGTGTTTTGCAGTATCGCCACTGAGGTGACTTCAATGATGCCAGAAGAAATCTTCGTGGCGAGCGATTTCGTGTCATGCTAGCCGAGACCTCTCAGGCGATGTGCAGGATGTGCCTTGCTCAACGCCATGGCCATTTTTAACATGCCTGACAAAGCCAAGACCATGCTTTCTTGACCCGTTTGCTTGTTATCTTCTCTTACGGTTTTCTGTTCCAGGCTGGAGAAGGAATCCAGTTCAAGCACGTGCGGCGCCTTCACCTTGTGGAAGTTCCTGTGAGGCAGATTGAAAGAAGTTTTTATCTTTTTAGCCTTTTTGCATCCGCCTTCGGTGTTTGCACTGGCAGGCACTCCGAATTGGTGCAGCGCGCATCACGGTGTGTTCGCATGGGTGGCCATGAGGTGCCTTCTGTGTTTGCTGGTCAGCAGCCTTTCTAGGTTCGGGTATTTCCGCATTTTTCTCATTCAATGCGAACCAGATTACTGTCAAGAAAGCAGACGATGGACTGGTTCTCAAAAGATGTCAACACACGAGAACATGACGAATTGACTGATGACTGACATGACACAAAAACAGTGGCCCTGAAAACATGGCAGGGGCTGCCGCCAGCTGAGCGTGAGCTGGCATGGAGCCCTGAGTTGGGCAGAACTACTGCAGCTACCCTTGTTTTATCCTGCTAGCGGAATCTTGTGTTGCACCCGAGCACGTGCTCCGTTTCGCAAGGCAGTTGAAGTTCATTTGACTCAGCTGCCGGGCTTTTTGAGGAAGGCAGGCAGCGAAAGTGGAGTATGCTGCAAGAAAGTTGTGTAGGAATGAACAAGGAAATAAGGCCTTCGTGCCGCGCATAGCTGTATATCATCGATATGTGTGTACGCACACATATATATATATAGCCATATAGACAACGTGTAGATTCACCACTTGCACTGCAGGGTCCAAGCTCTTTTATTTACAGAGAGCTCCTCAACGCGAGGGAGGCCCTGGGAGTAGACCGGTGGAGAAAATAAGCCCGACAAAGGGACACCTTCAAGAGGAAAAGTGACAAGAAAGGCTGAAGGAAAAAGTATGGCATGTAATGGTATGTGCATATATACATATATAATAATAGAAACAAGAAGCTATTAGAAACAAGTGCATCGCTACTAGTAACAAGTGCCTTACTAGTAGTAACAAGAAGCTATTAGAAACAAGAATATAGATAGATGTGCCTGGGAACCCGCGAGCTGAAACACTTCATTTTGCTCAAGCTCTGTTTTGGAGGTCATGTCAATCCCTGGCTCACGACTTGAGGTGTGTGGTGATATTCCAGTGTCCGTCCGTGCTTGTTGGCTGTTGTTTCAGCAGGAAGCCACAGCTGCATGCATGAAGGAGCTCAAGCCGCTCGATCCCAGCTTTCCAGCTTGGGGTGAAGAGTACATTTGCTGTGATCATCTCTGATGACTGATCCAAGGAAACGGGAGGTCAAGAACTTGCTCGACTTTCGAAAGGTTCTTCAGGCCCAAGCTCAGTTCGAGGAGTGCTTGAGACCATGCCCTGTGTTGAGGCTGATGGAGGTGAGAATCTCATTGAACTTCTTACTGAGGCTGGCAAAATTACAAGAACACCTCATTGACCTTCGCTTTTGAACAATCCGTCGCTCATGCAATCTTTGGGTTTGTTTGCAGACTGTCTTGGAGATTCTGGGCAACACCAATTCAGCTCCTGCACGGCCGTTGGCAGTGTCAGTGCCTATCTTAGCAGCATCAGAGCTGCCTTTTGGCGCTTCAGATAGACATGCTGAAGCACACCACTACTTCCGCTGCTTCTACTGCGATTTGCAAACTCCTGCAGATGTGGCAACTTCGAAAGCGGAATGATGATCTAGTGGCGTACTGACGGGCATGTTGCAGCCTCCACAATTCTCAGTGCTTGTCCATTGGGTCAATTCATGAGTCATGAATACAAACAAGATGGGTCTATGGATCAAGTATCACCCCACGACAAGTGACTTGGAACCTTTGGCATGCCAGGTTGGAGAAGAATCTCTTGAAGCAGGCGGTTCTCTGGGTTGTTGTGGTGGTGCCCTTGCAATGTGAACAATCTTGTGAGGCTACTGTGAAAACCGCAGACCATCTTTTGTTGGAACGCCTCGTTGACAAGGCAGCGACGGCCAGTCCTGTGTGCAGATGCGAAAAGACTTGATATATTATATAATGGTGTCTAAAAACATCGGAAGGCATGGGTCATGGGTCAAGTTTTCGCTTCTGGAAAGCCCCACCTCTTGATTCATCCTTCACGAGCTTTAAACCCTGAGTAGTTAGACACTCGAACCTGGCAAGCTGCTAGTAACTGAATATGAGAGCGACTAATTGATATACATGATATACTGCACTTGAATTCAGATTTCTCAGCAACTTCCATCTGCAGAGCGCTGAGCTGCTGGCGCCACTGGAGGCCAAAAGCTAAAGATGATTCAAGATGATGCAGAGTTACTTGTAGTACTGTAATTTTCAGTAGCACGCAAACTTTAGGAGGCACTTGGCATGTTTGTTTAGTGGAGTGAAGCTAGGTGGAAGCAAAAGAAGGCTTTAGCCTCAGTGAAAAGCCTAGGCCATGCGATTGCGGGCCATCGATCGGGAATTGCTGGCCCACCTGGGCGATCCACCAAAGGCGATGGCGATATCCATCCGATTGCACGAAGGACAATGTCTTAGCGATATCATTTGTTAGCCGATTTCTTTTGTTTTTTTGGGGGGTAGGCCGCTAGAGGTGAGGTAGGTTAGCTAGAGGTAGCTAGTAGTAGTTAGGTAGCTAGTACCTGCAAGTAAGCTACTACTTTGGACGCAGAATAGCTCACGCTTCTTCAAGAAGCTCCCTCCTCCTGAGGGTGGGGGAGCTTCCTTAAAGAAGCGCTCACACTAAATGATTTAGTTCCTAGATTTTTAGGGAAACTTGACCCTCTACATTGACAAAAGGGTCGGTGACAAAAGGGTCGCACATTGGTGGCATGGTCAAATGATGGTCACTATGCTTCGTTTCGAGGCACCGCCGCCTCGGTCAAAGTCTTAGAAAGACTTGAAAGCCGATGTTTGATGTGCGTGACTTGCTCCCAGGATCAACACAGATGCAGACGTCGCCTTGCCACTGGAGGTGCGCGCCCTGTGAACAGACAAATAAACATGTTGGCTTCAGCCAATGCAGGATGAGGAGGATGAGGAGGTGAAGAATGAAGATAATGAAGAGAATGAAGAGGAGCTACTGGACATTGTCAAAGAGAAGTCCAAGTTCCTTGAAGCGGCGGTTGTACAGTCGTAAAGGCTTGAATAGATATCATGTTTGTTGTCACTGTATTCCTTTTTTTTAGCAGTGTGCCCCGAGGAGGATGCTGTTGATTTGGCGGAGGCCGAGGACTATTTGAGCTGTTTCTGCATAGCTGCAGAAGCTTCCTAATCGTCCTGCTTGCTAATCATCGCCAGTTTCTGGCTCAAATCCTACAGCAGAGCGTGGCAGAGGATTGACATGAATGCACAAAAGACTGGCCTTCCAAACGTTAGAACCCTTAGAACGAAACGAGAGCCGACTGTGGAGTTGTAGAGTCTGTACTTGAAACACACATCATAACACACATCATGGGGATACACTGTCCACATGCACTCTCTATGGAGGTACATGTTGGCAAAGCAGAAAGAGAAGTAATAGAAATGCAAAAGTGATTGCGGAACCCTTTGTGCCAAGTGGTTGATGCGTGTTGAGCATCCCTGCAGCTATGTCGACAAAACAATCCGGCAAACTCCAAGCGCTAGAGCAGACAGACGATAACGAAGCCAGTTCAGAAGAGCCCAAAGAATCGACGAAGGATTCTCAGCTGAGGTTGTCTCCATGTCTCTTTAAATGCATGCAATCGTGGTAGTGGTGGAATGGTGAGTTTGCGATTTTGCTGGAACTTGTGTAGTATCTCATTAAGGCATGTGGATTTGCTGCATTGATTGGCTCGGACACTGATGAGAACTGTGACGATGCTGGTGGTTATGCCTGTGACAACAGCGCTGTAAAGCCCGAGCCAGCACAAGCAGTGGAGGTTTCAAGCAAGCAGCGCAAAGCAAAAAAAGAAGTGGCCTGGAAGCAGTTTCTGGAAGTGCGTGTCTTACATTTGAGCTCCAAAGCTCGGGTGCAGTGGGTAGGATGAGCAGTGGCACCCTAAGCAGTTTTCTGATGTTTTCTGGGGTTGGGCAATCACAAGAATATAAAATATGTCCCCTCGTTCCGCCATGCTAGTCAGCCTGTTTTGCCTCCTCCCGCTTGCTTCAAAGAAGCTGGTGGGAGGATTCAAGAATAGGTGTAGTGGAGCTTTGGATTGATTTTTGTCCTTTCAAACCGGCTTTGAAGCACTCTGACGGACTGTGGATGAGGAAGAAAAAAAAAGAGGAATAGCGAGAACAAGCAGAGTGACACTGACGAAGGCCAGAAGCTTGGTACTCCCGGCCTAAGTTGCGTTTACATCAATGAGCCGATTGTTGGCTAACTCTCAGCGGTGATTGTCTTGACTAGTGATTAGATGGGACGAGTATACAAAAAGTCAACTAGGTGTGTATTTTCAAAGTCTCTATAGAGGCCATCGCTCTTAGGTTGGAGTCCATTGCTCTTAGGTTGGAGGCCATCGCTCTTAGGTTGGAGTCCATCGCTCTTAGGTTGGAGGCCATCGCTCTTAGGTTGGAGGCCATCGCTCT